AACTTCGCTCCTGTTTCTTTCACAGGTCTGATTGGAAAGTGGATGACAGAGGCGATCAACGCTTCTTCAGAAGACAATGAGTACGTTTTTGTCATCCCCACTAGATTGGAATGAGAACAGCATATCGGATTTATGACTTGGTGTCATTATTTAAAATATTCCGATCAGGGTTCCAACACGTTGATGTCAATCACGCAATCACGTACAATCGACAAAGTCAACTCTTTGGGATGAAAATAAATAATCAGCGCATGCGATTTCTGCCCAGTGGAACGGTTTTATCATAGATGAGTGAGCAATGTCAATTATAGTGAGTATGGTTTTACGCCGCTTTTAGCAATATTCCAGCAATATCATGGCGGGGGACACCAGAAATGTACTTCACACATTGTACCCATATGGTCGCGGGTGGTACAGTGACGTGGTGATAGTTTCGTGTGTGGCAGAGTGACGTGGATCTATTGTCGCAGGTGGCACAGTAACGTTAAATATTGTCACTGGAGACGACGTTGCAGTGGCACGGTGACATGGGCTATTGTCGGCATAGTGACATTGGAGCTATTGTCACGTGCAGCCTAGTCACGTGGGGCTATTGTCACGTGCTGCCCTGTCATATGGGGGTATTGAAACATTCTTTTTTTAAATTACAGCATTGACTTGTATTAGCAGCGATCAGTTCAAAACGTTCATTTGTTAACATTTCATAACATTCATTTAATGACATGACGTTTATAACATTTTTATATCACTGTTTATCAAATTCATGTTCACATGTATTTAGCAGTTCATGACTTACACACAGGGAGATGTGTAGTCAGTGATTTAGAAAGCTTGTAGCTTTTATGGAAATTATGAGAGTCGCCCTCAGAGAGACTTTCCTCGGCATTTACGGTAAATTATGTGCTACTTACAGAAATATAGAATTCTTTGACTTTGAAACGAACATAACATTCGATATGTAAGTCGATGTCATTTCAGTATATAGCACGTCATGTGGTGTACTTATTAAGTGTAGGTTACATACCTATATAGCAGACAGTAAATTCTAGTTGGCAACAGGTGTACAACAATGTTCACAAATAGTGAAACGAGCAGGCTCTATTTGCCATGCTTATTAACTAAGTGTGAAGCAAAATCCTTACAGCACATTAGTGGAAATTGTTCATGTTCAAAATAGAGACATATTAACAAGACAATTCATTTGCTAAATTTTTCAATTTGATCAAAGTCTTCAGAAAGTTTTCAAGTGACAATTTGTTTTTCTTAATACTTGATACATGTATATATTTTTTGTATGCCAGTATGATGTATTTTAAGTAAGTAATTTTACATGTTTTGTACAGTTTCTGTATCTGATAAAAACATCCTTCCACGATATATGGATATAAGTCAAGAATGGTATCCTATTTTTCACATACTGTTGGGAGAATTGCTGTAGTTATAGTCTTATCATAAAAATATCTGGAGCGCTACAAGTAAATCTATCAAAGTTGCATTTAAATGTTGATTATATAAAATAATGTGATTATTTCTATTAGTATCTTTCCAAGATTTTGGTATGATTTTTGAACCTGGTAATAGTCAATAATTGTGCCTTTAATTTGGTATTTTGTCTGAAGTTCATTGAAGGGCATTATATCACCTTCATTACAGATATCCTTAATAGTGTAAATTCCCTTTAAAAACAATTTCTTATAATGAAATCATTTTTTTTAAACTGATGGTTACCCCAAAGAGGTTCTGATAGTACTTCTTCATTGTTTGTGGAGTTAGTTTTGTGTCTTCTATACAATGTTCCACAAGCAGCCAAAACATCTATTCAGTAAGGGTTAGCTAAGTGGATACATTTTGTAATATTGGCCCCAAGTAGGAAATTGTTTTTCAGTGGAGAGATGCTAGGGTTATACACTTTTTGTTTTGAAGATGTTTTTGAGAACTGACAGTTTTAGAGAAATTTAAAATTCCTCACCTCTATAATTCTCAGTCCGCCTTCGTCACATTTTCTTATTGAAGTTGTTCGTTTTATTTTGTCCCCTTTGTCATTCCAGATGAATCTGTACAATATGTTGTTTAGTTCATCAATAAATTCACTTTTACTCTATATATCCATATTCTAAGATCCTTCCAGAAAAAATGAAAAACTCTACAGGGAATCTATCAATACCTGGGCTTTTGTTATTTTTCATAGATTTTACGGCCTTTGTTATTTCATTCATGTTAATCAGGTCTTCTAAATAATCAAACTGTGATTGAATAATTTTTGGTGTGTTAAGTTTGTGTAATAAATGTTTGGATTCCTTAGTTATTTCTTCACTTGAAGAGCAAAGTTTCTCATAAAAATGTCTTTGTCCAGTTAAGATGGATTGTCTATCGGTTATTGAATCCCCTTTTTCAGATATAATACTGTTAATTAGTTTACTGGTATAGTTCCTGTTTTCAAGATGACAAAAATATTTTGATGGTTTCTCTCCCTACTCGTACCACTGGATTCTGTTTCTTATTTGAAATCCCTTTGATTCTTCTTTTAATGTTTCTAAGATAAGAAGGTATCACTGATTTTTAATTTTAAGTTTTGGTGTTCAGTTTTTATGGTTCATCTTTGGAACATTTACTGTTTGAACATTTTAGCTTTGTTTCTTCTAGTGTATCGTTCACTATTTGGATATATTGATTGTTAAACAATACAGAAGTATTTAACTTCTGGTAGTCCCTACCTTTTTCTTTTGCTAATTGTATTTGAAAAAGTCAATGTTATTGCAAAGTGATTGGATTTGCATCCGGGGGTCATTGTAGAATCAATAGTTATATTTGCAATGTTTTGTGAGACCAAAAAGAAGTCCAGCTTGTTGTTTTGGCTTTTTCTTTCACCATGTGTATTTTTTTGCATCTATATTTTTCTCTCTCCAAATATCAATTAGATCAAAGCTTCTTTTTTTTTTCATGTACTTACTTTATTGCTTTGGGATTGTTGATATGTTTATAATTTTCCAAATCGACATATGGATTGAGTACCAAGTTCCGTCACAGGGCAATGCAAAAAGGACAAAGTCTTCACGACGAAGAATTTCATTCGTCAACCAAATTCAATGATAAGGGTGTGACTTGAGCACCGAAACTGACTTAAAGCGATGCGATATAAGCATTACTATTTTACACAAGATCAATACATTTCATAAGTAACATATTAACCATAATATTGAAATCCAATTGAAATGTGAATATTTTATTGCACCTTGCTTTATTGTCAATATCAACTCATCTCTGACTAATACTAATAGAAATAGAACTGATATGTCAAGCACCACACAAATACAGAATCAGATACACGAAGTACAGGTACACAGCAACTAATGTATCCAGGTGAGCTACCTATTTTAACACTGATATACTATTTGAATAGTAGTGGTGATATTTATATATGTATTTTCTCATCCATTCATAAATGAAATGCAAAGTTTATTTTCACATTATTTGTATGGAAAGGGTCACTGTATGACTTGTAATATTTCAGGTATCCATTGAGCAGTGTCATTGGAAGTTCTCCCTCTGTCTGGAAGCCAAGGTTGGATGATGCAACTCCGTGGATTGAGGTGAATATTATCGTTAGCATTATGTTGTCACTCGAGAACTTCATCGAAAAGATCACTTACAATGTATCTTAGTTGGTGTAGTGTCTACACAAAACATGTAGCACTCAAATCTATTATATAAAAAAAAATACATATTAGCTTGACTCGTTATGCATGTTTGTCATTTATAGGAAAATACGCTTCAGGAAACTGTGGGAATCGCCGACACATGTAAATCTAATACACTTATTAAGTAACACCCCTCCGGGCAGCAGGGGTATATTGACCGCTGGAGTGTGATTGCCTGTGGGTGAAGAATAATGCCCGTCTGTCATTGCCAGTAAAGCAAAAGAGGCTCCAAGTGCAACTGGTTTCTTCTATTGTTCACAGTGATGTCAGTGACTTATCAATCTGTGAGGCCACTGTGCGTCAACCGCTATGTCCACAATAGTCTAGGTTCAGTACATGGAATTTAGTTTCCAACACTTTCCCTCCCAGAAAACATTTTCCCCAAACTTTCATAATTGAGTGATGCATGTGTAAAACTACCCACAACAACAACATTGTTTACGGAGCATGGTTTGATAACTGTAGGATACGAACATAGGTTCAATCAGAGTTACTGTGAAGTGTTCCATGTGATTCGAACACATGCAGAATATACAGATAAAAATTCAACTGGAATCATGCAATACAAATGATTCTATCATGACATTTATTATTCTGCATTTTGACTGTTCCGCCAGCGGTATCGAATCTACGCAGGAATTTGCTCCTGCTAATGATCGCGTCAATGGAGATGAAACTATTTCTTTGAAAGCAGTTTTCTGAAACCCGACCGGTAGTAAATTTGAAATACCGATTTTACTGAACAAATGTTGCGGAACAAAGTGTTCGAGATCCAGATTATTTATAGCAAATGTGGCAATATGTTTTCAGATGAGAAATCCGACGAAGAACGTCTTAGAGAGGGTGTGTTAAGTTCAGTTCCATTAACACAGTTTGACATTAAGTTAGCGCTCATGCTTAACGTCCTGTGACGTCATGTCTATCGCTTCATAACACGAGGTTGGTGTGAACAAGCTGCAAGGGTCGTTTTGAAAAAGTTTTAAACGGTATGTGTGGTAGATAGTTCTAGTGTCTCTTAGTGAAAACATTTTAGTATTATGGTGTTAATTATGTTTTGAGTAAACACAATCAAACATTTTCGGATTAAAGCTTACTGATCCCTTAAGTTGACCATTCAGCATATTGTAAATATTAGACTTAACCCATGCCACGTCACTTATCACCTCTGTATTACGAAATAATTCGAGATTATTACATATTAAATGTATCAACGATGTATTTTTGTTTTCGGCGGACAAAGAGTTTAGTAGGAAACACATATTTCGAGGCATTCAGTAAATTAAACTGTTTTCTCTTCAACAGGCTGGGATAGATACTTTCCTCTACTTTGCTATGGTCCAAATCTACCCCGACATCTCTACCTTCACGAAGAACATCTGGTTTCGGGACTCCAACAGGAACTGGATGGTGACATGGACGAAGAATGATGACGATGAGGCATCCATTGTGGGATTTTTTATTCCACATTGTCAAGTAAGTTTCATATTGTACATGTTGAATCGTTGCCAATCTTAACACAGTTTGCATTCATCCGTCTGAATGAGAAGAAAAATGTCCATCTCTTTTGGGGATATAGGTATTTTCACGATTACGGCTTGACAAAAAGTAAAGTTAGTTTCATAGTGTATGAAGTTGCTAGTTTTACCATCGGTAGTTTTAACATTGAAGAGACAATTGTCCATGCAGTTGGTGCTAACTAGGAGTGGGATTTTATAGAAAGTAATAATCTGCATATCTGTCATTTGTTGAAGTAAGTTAATTTCAACATACAAACATTTCTCGAGAACTGTGACATCGACCTGTGATCCCTAATCACCGTGCTGGCTACGTTTACATAACTGTACATCGTCCTGTAACACACCCATGTGTGATCCCTAGGGGCCGTGCTGGCGACGTTTACATAACTGTACATCGCCCTGTAACACAGCCATGTCTGATCCCTAGGGACCATGCTGGGGAGGTTTACATGACTGTAAATCGACCATTAACACATTCATGTGTGATCCCTAGGGATACTAATGGGAACGTTTACATCACTGTACATCGCCCTGTAACACACCCATGTGTGATCCCTAGGGACCGTGTTGAGAACGTTTACATAACTGTACATCGCCCTGTAACACAGCCATGTGTGATCCCTAGGGACCGTACTGGGGACGTTTAAAAACTGTACATCGCCCTGTAACACTTCATGTGTGATCCCTAGGGACCATGGTGGGGGCGTTTACATCACTGTATATCGTCCTCTATCACATCCATGTGTGATCCCTAGGGACCGTGCTGGAGACGTTTACATAACTGTACATCGCCCTGTAACACATCAATGTGTGATCCCTAGGGACCGTGCTGGGGACGTTTACATTACTGTACATCGCCCTGTCAAAATTTCATGTGAGATCCCTTGGGATACTGCTGGGAACGTTTACATAACTGTACATCGCCCTGGAACACATCCATGTGTGATCCCTAGGGACCGTGCTGGGAACGTTTACATAACTGTACATCGCCCTGGAACACATCCATGTGTGATCCTTAGGGACCGTGCTGGGAACGTTTACATAACTGTACATCGCCCTGGAACACATCCATGTGTGATCCTTAGGGACCGGGCTGGGGCCGTTTATATAACTGTGCATCGCCCTGTAACACATTCATGTGTGATCCCTAGGGACCGGGCTGGGGCCGTTTATATAACTGTACATCGCCCTGTAACACATTCATGTGTGATCCCTTGGGACCGTGCTGGGGACGTTTACATCACTGTACATCGCCCTGTAACACATTCATGTGTGATCCCTAGGGACCATGGTGGAGGCTTTTACATCACTGTACATCGTCCTGTAACACTTTCATGTGTGATCCCTAGGGACCGTGCTGGGAACGTTTACATAACTGTACATCGCCCTGTCACACATTCATGTGTGATCCCTAGGGACTGTACTGGGTATGTTTACATCACTGTACATCGACCTTTCACACAGTCATATGTGATCCCTAGGGACTGTACTGAGGATGGTTACATCACTGTACATCGACCTTTCAGATAGTCATGTGTGGTCCCTAGGGACTGTACTGGGGATGTTACATCACTGTACATCGACCTTTAACATAGTCATACATGTATGTGATCCCTAGGGACTGTACTGAGGATGGTTACATCACTGTACATCGACCTTTCACATAGTCATGTGTGGTCCCTAGGGACTGTACTGGGGATGTTACATCACTGTACATCGACCTGTAACATAGTCATGTGTGATCCCTAGGGACCGGGCTGGGGCTGTTTATATAACTGTACATCGCCCTGTCACAGGTAACCCTAGTTGTGGCCGTTTTCAACACACAGGTCGAAGTCAACCATCAGTAGTTAAGTTAACATCTGTCACAATTCACCTTGTTATACCGCGATGTTTTCTTTACAGATGCTGACAGTCCCAACAGACGCAATCAGAATCACAATGGACAAACACAGCAGTGTTGAAGTCGCACGCGTTTATGTGCGTGGTCTTCTGTAAATTCATTTCAATACAAGACCATCATTGTTAAAGAACAAGCTCAGCCCACACATCTTCAACTCTGTCACCAAGTGCCACGGCCCACACATCATCAACTCACCAACAGATACGGCCCACACATCTTCAACTCCGTCACCAACAGCCTCGGCCCACACATCTTCAACTCTCTCACCAACAGCCTAGGCCCACACATCTTCAACTCCGTCACCAACATCCTCGGCCCACACATCATCCACTCACCAACATCCTCGGCCCACACATCTTCAACTCTCTCATCAACAGCCTCGGCCCACACATCTTCATCTCCGTTACCAACAGCCTCGGCCCACACATCTTCAACTCTGTCAGCAACAGCATCAGCCCGCACATAATCAACTCCGTCACCAACATCCTCGGCCAACACATCTTCAACTCTCTCACCAACAGCCTCGGCCCACACATCTTCAACTCTCTCACCAACAGCCTCGGCCCACACATCATCAACTCACCAACAGCCTCGGCCCACACATCTTCAACTCTCTCACCAACAGCCTCGGCCCACACATCATCAACTTACCAACAGCCTCGGCCCACACATCTTCAACTCTCTCACCAACAGCCTCGGCCCACACATCATCAACTCTCTCACCAACAGCCTCGGCCCACACATCATCCACTCACCAACATCCTCGGCCCACACATCTTCAACTCTCTCACCAACAGCCTCGGCCCACACATCTTCAACTCTCTCACCAACAGCCTCGGCCCACACATCATCAACTCACCAACAGCCTCGGCCCACACATCTTCAACTCTCTCACCAACAGCCTCGGCCCACACATCATCAACTTACCAACAGCCTCGGCCCACACATCTTCAACTCGGTCACCAACATCCTCGGCCCACACATCATCAACTCACCAACAGCCTCGGCCCACACATCTTCAACTCTCTCACCAACAGCCCCGGCCCACACATCTTCAACTCCGTCACCAACAGCCTCGGCCCACACATCTTCAACTCACCAACAGCCTCGGCCCACACATCTTCAACTCTATCAGCAACATCCTCGGCCAACACATCTTCAACTCACCAACAGCCTCGGCCAACACATCTTCAACTCTATCAGGAATATCCTCGGCCCACACATAATCAACTCACCAACAGCCTCGGCCCAAACTTCTTCAACTCTATCACAAACAGCCTCGGCCCACACATAATCAACTCCGTCACCAACAGATTCGGCCCACACATCTTCAACTCGGTCACCAACAGCCTCGGCCAACACATCATCAACTCTGTCACCAACAGCCTCGGCCCACACATCTTCAACTCCGTCACCAGCAGCCTCGGCCCACACATCATTAACTCTATCGCCAACATCCTCGGTCCACACATCTTCAACTGTCACCAACAGCCTCGGCCCACACATAATCAACTCCGTCACCAACATCCTCGGCCCACACATCTTCAACTCTGTCACCAACAGCATCGGCCAACACATCTTCAACTCTATCGCCAACAGCCTCGGCCCACACATCATCAACTCACCAACAGCCTCGGCCCACACATCGTCAACTCTGTCACCAGCAGCCTCGGCCCACACATGTTCAACTCTGTCACCAACAGCCTCGGCCCACACATCTTCAACTCTGTCACCAACAGCCTCGGCCCACACATCTTCAACTCTGTCACAAACAGCCTCGGCCCACACATCTTCAACTCTCCCACAAACAGCCTCGACCCACACATCTTCAACTGTCACCAGCAGCCTCGGCCCACACATCATTAACTCACCAACAGCCTCGGCCCACACATCTTCAACTCCGTGACCAGCAGCCTCGGCCCACAAATCTTCAACTCTATCACCAACAGCCTCGGCCCACACATCTTCAACTCTATCAGCAACAGCCTCGGCCCACACATCTTCAACTCCCTCACCAACAGCCTCGGCCCACACATCATCAACTCACCAACAGCCTCGGCCCACACATCATCAACTCTCCAACAGCCTCGGCCCAAACATCTTCATTTGTCACCGAGACCGTTTCCGTGACCAAGCCGTAAAAAGATGGTTCTTGTTGTTACCCTGCCTTGCACTTGGCATGAAGGGACTATCACAAGGACTGAGGGGGTATTTATGTTAAACTGAGGCATTGTATTTCAGTGGTATCCGGACTGGTACACGTAGCCACACACACACACACACACACACACACACACACACACACACACACACACACACACACACACACGTGCATGCGCGTCGTTACATAGGTTATACCCCGTTAAACCACATTGCATCCCACCTCACTTCATCTGTCACCAACAGCCTCGGCCAACACATCATGCATATTGATTTGTACTCTGCCCGACGTCTGTTCTACAAAATTGGTTTGGATGATCCTTGCACAGTCAGGCTGGTGAGGCTTATCATCAGCTCAGGGCACTTGGTCCCTCTACACGAAGCCCAGACAGGGAATGGGACTTCTCCCAGGAAGCGCTGCCTAGTCAAACCCACCCAGAACTTTTCGGAAAATGTGAAGACTCCCCAACACTGCAGACTTCTGCATTACCAGGATTGTCAGAAGGGCTGTATTCCTGGTAGCAAACCCGGATACTCTCCCAATTTCAGTCAACAGGTACCAAATCTAAGACACCGAGAACAATGGAGAATCGGACAACTTGGTACTTTGGGTGCAAGCGTGACATTTCGAAAGCGAGGTGGGCATATTTGCCATGTTTTTCTTGTATCTTGGCAATCACACTAGTGTCAAAAGGGATAGAAAATTCAATGAGATAAATGATTTCATTGGATTTATCACACGATCTGGTTTATTGCCCTGTAAACGGGCCTATCTGAAAGAATTCTGTATTGATCATTTTCCATGACGCCCTCTACATATTCCGTGTCGTACCACGGATGGACCTCTGTGTCAAAACCACAAGCTTGGCGAAGACGGTAATACAATGATCGAGCCACTCCATCATATCGTTTAAGACACTGTGTTTGTGCCAAGGCTGGGCGTCCACTGACAATGTGTTTGACAGTCTCGTTAAATTCATTACATAATCTACCGTAACATGTCATATTAACATTCTGATGCAAAATCACACATGGACGATTTCGAGTGGGAAATGACTGGTCCTTAACAGCAAGCAGAAAGCCTTCTGTTTCACCTTTCAGGCCAGTCGACTTCATCCAAGCGAAGGACTCTGCATGGTTGCTAATCACAAACTGCACATAAACTCGATGCAATGGTCGTTCAGATAACATCTCCTTAAAACACTGAGTCTTGGCCGATTTGATATGGCACTTCGCTTGGTTGACACTCATTTCTGCACCATCCAGCAGTACAGAACCATCAACAAAATCAACACTGACATTGATATTATGTCCCACATCCTTTCATCATCATCTTCTTCTACTTCTTCTTCGTGTGCAACTCGTCTGTCTAAAACAGCAATGCATTCAAACATTTATACATATGGCAGAAGCCTTACTGATTTAGCGTTAAATATAAACTCACTCACTCACTCCCTCAAACATGCATCAACCACTGCTTACTCCGTAGATCGACATTCAAGTCGGTAATCTGCAATACTGGCGAAACGTTTGGTTTAGTGATGAACCACGTGCACGTGTTTTGCTTCGGCGTTGTGATGGAAGAACGACGTTTAAATGGTTTATGCATTAGACGTTTCTCCTAACTTTCTCCTAACCATTTTTGAAGGCATGTTTTAAGATCGCTCTGAACATGACGTGTATTTTCCATCACGAAGTGATATCATTCAACCTGAAGTGCGTAAAACCTTCTTTATAAGGTAGTCTGAGGTACAGGACAGTCTGTTGTAAAGTTGTCTTGCACTGGGCACGTATTATTGAAATATGATTATTGAAACGACGAAATCAGACTTGATGTCTGAGCGATGTCATTGCTTTGGAAATGGCTTTAGAATCCTCATTATGTTAGACCAAGGTACATGTAGTTATGGTATGGGGCCGTAGTAGGCATGTATTTCACCGAACCAGAGATACTGGAAACGTGATGGTAGGTAATGATTTCTGAGGAGTTCTAGAACTGTTAGTGAGGGCACTGCTTCTGTTTTTGCAAGTTCGTGCAAAACACATTTCTTATTTATATTTATAGAATACTAAACGAGCTCCCGTGTAGTACCAATTTTATGAAACGAGTGAATAATTCTGGTATCTGACGAGCGAAAGCGAGTCAGATACTACAACTATTCACGAGTTTCATAAAATTGGTACTACACGGGAGCGAGTTTAGTATTTTATTTATTACTCGTCATTCGTACCTACGTAAAAATCAGCTGATTGACTCCGTACGTCGCATCCCGAGTTCAAATCAGGTCATGCGTATGAATACAAAGTCATGTAAATAGTCATCGTCAAGTGCATCTATAATATCAAAATTTTAGCAATTCCAATGGAGAAAACACCCGAACGCTCTTTTTTTCCACAATAAATCTACTTTAATGAACTTCCTGCGAAACTTCGAAACTGCGGTAATGTTTCGAAAACAATAACAAAACAAGTTTATTCGTTCGTTGACAAGGCCAAGGTCACAACGTCACATGACCGCAGGCAGAGGGATTCCCCCGATGACAGTCTGTTTTCAAACTTTCTATCACTGGCGATTCATGTCTGATGACATGTCACTGCTATGGTTTAGAAAATTTACATTTGTCACAGAATTGGTGATTGTACCGGCAAAGATAGAGCTGAGTGTGCGAGACTGGCTAGCTGTCACATTGAAAGTTTAGGGATGGAGCAGAGACGGTCGACGGTTGGCAAGTCGGAACACAGAGCAGTGATTGTGAAGTGCAAGAATCACTAGGCCTGTCAATCAATGTACTGATGTGTTTGTGCTGCTCTTCAGAAATTTGTGAATAGTTATTGACACTCTGCACATTTCTATGGCCACTGATTTGCATTATCTGAGTAGGTGGAACATTTTTCTCAGAAAGAGTTTGGACCAGATACTTTCGGGCGGAATGATTCGTCAACCGTTTGGTAGATTCAAGTTTTGCATTCGCTGCCATGCGTTTCATTATGGACCCAAGCTTGTTGATGCCAACAGGTTGTCGCTTAAACCAAGGATGTGTCGGAGCGGGAGCAGTTTTAGAATTTGTTGCCAAGTAGAAAGGCGCGTCATGGCCACTGAAACCAGTTGGTCTAAGGTTAGCATAGCGCTTATACGCAAGGACGGGGCAGCGATTGTCACCTGTCGCCCAAGCTTTCGGCGTGACAGTCCGAACATCCCGGATGTTTACACCAGTGCGTGTTTTGGTTTGCCGCTCAGCAAACTGCAGGTATTCCATTCCATTTCCATCTTGATTCAACATCACGTCTCCCCAGTGCATATTTCTATGGGGAGTAACGCTACGCAGTCCAAAATGTGTCGTGTTGTGCCACCAAAGTGTATTCAAAATGGACTCGGGAGTTTCGAGACCTAATTCCCCGGATTTCCATAATGTGTCAATGTCGTTCTGACTTAATGACTGCGCACGCATAGGTAAGT